GGTTTCCAAGCATGTGGGATCATAAGTTGTTTCGAAATAGTTATGGAAAGCCCTAATCTCTTTGGCGTGAGTGAACATACCTTTCTTGGAGTGTACCTGCACATCGAACGCATCAGTTAGTTTCTGTTGAATGGAGAGGGTATCGAACATGTAAGATTGGTAGAACTTAGTCCACCATTCCAGAAAACCCTTTGCTGTGAAGTGTGTGGGTTCAAAAGGTAGTAGTTCGAATTGAGCGAAGTCTTGATATTGTTCTTGTTGCAGTTTGGCTTCTCTTGCTTTAAAGGTTCGACCAGAAGTGATGGCACTCTGTGTTTGGAACAGAGGTTCAGGGATTAATTGGCACAGGCCAAATTGTCTGGAAACAAAGTTAGGTTGATAGGCAAAGAGGAAGATTTGATTCTTGGAAGGAGTGATTCGTGAGGAAATTAATCTAGGAAGCAAAAAGGATTTCCAAATATCTTGAATTTCTTTACTTTTAACTGCTTCTGAAAGAGACATGGTGAACCATGATGGTCCATGAGTCCTTGAAGCAAAGGGTGCCATGGTCTCTTCAAATTTGTGTCTTTTGGAAAAAATCATGATATAGTTTGAGAAAAGGACCTTGAAGTCATCTTTGTCATCATTCGGGGTGAGTTTTCGCAGCCTTGTACCTTCAATAATTCTATCCGCTATCTCCGGATCTTGTTCAACAACGGTGTCAGCAGTTGATAATGAGGATTCAAACATGGCATTAAGCCATAATTGGAGTAACCAGAAGGGGCCAGCTAGAAGGATGTTTTTGGGAGTATGGGATTTCAAACTCGAAACGGCTGATCTTAAGCTTTCGTAAAGATCAACAAGTAACAGTTCGCTCAAACATACCCTCATATTCTCATGTAAGTCTCTAGCTAAAGGGATGAACCTGCTTGCTACCTGTAAGGACCTGCTACAGAATACGTATCTTGATAACCATAAAGTGAGAAAAGCAATATGTTCCACATCTGACACACTATCTCCTTCAGTGTGGTAATGGCTAATGAATTTGGAAAAACTGGCTAATTTGACATCGAAGTCAATAATGCTGGAGTGTTCTTCATTATCAGGGATGTAGGTTTCTCCTACTGGTGACAAACCAGTGATGGCTGCTATATCGAAAAACGTGGGTGTTATCATTCCCCCAGGGAGATGAAAGGTGTTGTAGGTGTTGTCCCAGAAATATAAGGATGCAAATAACAGTGGATGACTATAGGTGAAGCCTGGTTTCGATAACTTAATCAGATTATAGATGCCTAATTCCTCCCATTGCTGGGATTTCTTGGCTTCTACTTTGGTGAGCCAGTTTTGGTAAGCTATGTTAGAGGTAGGGCAGGATCGGAATGGTTTAAAGTTACTCTTCACGTAGTCTAACACAAAGGGATCTTTTGGGGGAACAGTTGGAGTTTCTATGGTTGTCGAATCTGAAGACTCGCCTATCTTAGGGATATCCATCTTATTAAACAAGGGTTTAAAGTTGTAACAGACAGGGAAGATTTTTCTAGTATCTTTCAAGATTTCAAAAACTGTAAGAGGACCCATTAGAGCAAACCTCTTTCCAGCAGCGTTAGTTGGAATCAATACCTGAGAGGCATAGGGCATTTCCTTTTCCTTGGAGATCAATTGAGGGATAAGCACAGATTGACCTTGATAAGTACCGACCTTGCTTTCCATAATTGTTCCTATGTTCTTGCTTTTCTTCTTGGAAGTTTTCTTCAGTTGGGATGATGTTGTTGAAGACATTGTTGAAGATTGTTGGAAGTTTTAGGGTTTTAGTAAGAGGAGAGGAAGAAAAAGTTTCAGAGTGTGAAAAAAGAATAAAAGACTAAGTTGATTAGTTTTTATAGTGTGGAAGCTTAAACATCCACTAAGTGAGACTAGGATACGTGGGAGTCGTGGGTTGGATTGAGGAGGAGGTGGCGTAAAGGCTGATATTGGTAATAAGCGTGATTAATAATAATCATTGTTTTATAACTGCACCATGCTGTGAAATACTGATTCAAGACGGTTAAGAAATCCAAGAGGCGTCGTGATTGACGTGATTGAAGTCATACACAGTAAGTGTTATGATTACTCAAAAGTCACATCAAAATCTTGCAAATATATTTAAAATAAGTGTTTCTCAAAGGATCGAAATACATATTTTAAAGGGGCATTTTGTTGGCTGAAGATTTTGATGATACAGTTCGAAATAAAGCAATATGGATGTTTCGTTGGAATAAAGCAAAATGTTACAGTTCGGAATGGTAGAAGCGGTTCTTCGAACGGACATGTCAAAGCTCGGAGCTTCGAGTGACAGTTGTAAAGATATATTTAAAAGAAGCCTCGAAGTGGTAACGAGACTGTGTCTGTGAAATGAGTTCGAAGCGAAGATTGCCAAGGCATTTGAAATTCAAACGCGAGCGGGATGTTGGAATTCAAATATATATATGCGCTGGAGCGTTCGAAGACGCGTGGAAGCTAGAGAGGAGCAGTGCTCTGCATGTTCTGAATGTGGCAGAATCTTATAGGCAAGACCGTTATGGTCGAAGTAGTATAAATAGAAGTCTTAGCGTTAGGATTTCGTGTGTCATATCTATTGTACAAAATTCAGTAAACATTCAAAATACCACATGGATAGGGAAACGAATGCTCGAACAATGTACGTATGATAACACCAAACATTTATAATTCAGTAAAACTCTTTATCTTTTCCAGTTTATCTTCCATTTTCATGTCAATGTCATTCAAATACCTTTACATTCAAAGTCATTTACTTATTTCTTGCATTTAAACGCTTTTCTTCTATTCGAATCCTTTACATTTCAGAAACTCTTTTACATTTCATGCTTTTATATTCATGCTTTTTACATTAAAGTCTTTACATTCAAAGTCATTTACTTATTTCTGCATTTAAACATTTCTTTGCAATTGAATATTTATTCATTCAATTCAGTTTCGTATTTCTTTACTTGATCATGTCATTAGATTCTTTTAACATGGTAATCGAAGTGAATTGAACGTCTATAAAACATTCTAAATACAAATCCTAACTATGAATATCAGTTTTGCAATTAGATTTATCCAAACGACCGATACCTCATAGGATCAATCTAGTCGATCCTGCAAGTTACCAGAGAGATTAAATAACAGTCATTAAGATTATTTGATAGTTTGGAGGACTAGCGGTTGTTTACCAGAAATCATTGTAAACAGGTACATAGTAAACATCTTCGATTGATCCAATTAAGCCATCCTTCTGCAAGTAATTGATTGTGCCCTTTCCTTCGACCTTCACTTTCGATGCATCTCCAAAAGACACATTACCATCTTCAATTCTCTTCATATCTTTAAACAGGTGTTTGTAACCACACATGTGATTACTTGCTCCTGAGTCAAGATACCAAACACTGTCATTGGTGTTGATTTCGTTTTGAGCCATCAGGAGAAAGCCTTCATTTGATTCATCTTCCAAGGCTAGGTTGGTTGTTTCTTCAATCTTCTTTTTGATTCGACATTTTTTTGCAAGATGTCCCACTTTGTCAGAGTTGTAACATTTGTAAGAGTTACAATCCTTCGCATAATGACCATACTTCCCACACTTGTAGCATTCGAAGTTGGAATGATTCGAACGACCACCTCTTTGACCACGTCCTCTGCCACGCCAATTTTGTTGGCTCGATTGTCCTCTTTCGAAGTGGCTACCTCTACCACTTCGACCACTGTCACGACCTCCACGTCCACGTCCTCTTCCTCGAAAGTTGTGAGAAAAGAGTACCTTTTCGTCTTTGTTCGATTCTTTGGTTTGGTTTGCTTCTTCGACTGCTTCTTCTTTCTTTTTCATCTTTCGTTGTTCATGTGCTTCGAGAGAACCAGCGAGCTCTTCGACTGAGAGCGTCGAAAGGTCCTTCGACTCTTCTATTGCACACACAATATTTTCAAACTTGTCTGTTAAAGATCTCAAGATCTTTTCAACAACTCGTACATCAGGTACTGTCTCTCCATTTCTGGTGAGTTGATTCACCACCTTTTGCACACGTGTGATGTAGTCAAATACAATTTCTGTATCCTCTTCAATTCGCCACGAAGAGTTTGGAGTCGAACTTGCTTCACTCGACCTGCTCCTTTGAACACTTTTTCTAACGTGTCCCACGCTTGTTTCAACGTAGTCGAACCAGCAATTTTTTTGAAGCCTGATTCATCTACAGCCCTGAACAACATGTATAATGCTGTTTTGTCCTTCGATCGCGTCTCTTTCAACGCCTTCGTTTGAGTTGTCGTATATCCCCCAACTTCTGTTGGTTCTTCAAACCCATCATGGGTCACATCCCACGCGTCTAGAGATCCAAGAAGAGCTTTCATTTGGATACTCCAGTTTTCATAATTTGACTTCGTTAGCCGTGGCAACGACATTTGATTCATCATGTTTGCCATGAGCTCTGATGCCAAATTGTTATAACTAAGAATCAGACTTCAGACTAAACTTTGTATATATTGCTCTTGTTAAAATAAAATACACTCTTGGTCTTTATATAGACCTAATGGCTTTTACAAAAAAAAAATCATAACTGCTACTAATAAACTATCATAACTTACTAAACTTTTGTCCTTCCTACTACCATATTTAATATGAAACTTATTACTAATGACATTTAATGTTTATTCAACAGCAAATAGTATGACTTTAAACAATCAAATGGTTTTTTGAGCTTGATGCTTGTAATGTAAGAAACAATCTTAAACTTGTAGTTTTTAGTCCCCAAGAATTCTCACATGCAAACCACATCAAAATTACAATTTACATAGGTGATTTTGACCTATCAATAATGATAAGCAATAGCAGGAAACCAGAAATACAAGTAACTCCACAAGAACAAAAAAAATCAGTCTTCAAATAATTATAAGTAAATAGAAAGAAAAAAAAAGAATAACACAAATATAGCTGAGAAATGTCACATAACATAGCAAGGTCGACTTCATGTCGCAGCCGAGAGTAGACCGTTGAATTAAGAGAGAGAAGCTTTATCACTGTCAACATCAGAAGCCTTTGGCGAAACCACAGCATCAAAATAGCTTTTCTCTCCTATGCTAGATGTTGTTTCCAGTGCTTTGATCTCCGCAGATTCTGCTGTTGGTAAAACCACTTCAATTACTTTCTTCTTAGGCGGAGAAACTGCCACATCTCCCATAGGATTAGTCTCGGATGATTTTTCTTGCTTGATTGGTTTGCTCAACTCATTGCTTTGTGTTTCCTCCGAAACCTTCTCAGCTTTCGGTGTTTCTGTCTTTGTCACAGTCACAGTTACCTCAGGTGCAATAGCATTTTGATTTTGTTTCACCGCTGTTTCTTCCACCACTGGTTCATTGATTTTAGTTTCTGGTGTTTTTGTCTTCACAACCACATCAGCTGCAGAGTCAGTGATTTTGTTTTGCAATGTAGGTTTTTCCTCAACAACAACAACAGCAGATTCTTGTTTTGTAACTGGCTCATTGATTTTGGTTTCCTGAAATAGTTTCTCTTCTGTCTTTGGAGATACATGTTTCACTGTTGGCTTGCTGATTTTAGCATCCACCACAGGTTCTTGTTCTGTAGCTGCCTCATTGCTTCTGGTTTCCTGTGATAGTTTTTCCTCTCTTTTTGGAGATTCTTGTTCCACTGCTCGCTCACTGATTTTAGCATCCACCAATGTTTTCTTGTCTTCCAATGTTTCTTGTTTCACAGTTTCCTTAGCTTTGGTTTTTTCATTTTCTGTGGAAAACTTTGCATCTTCATTCTAAGATATCAGAGAACAAGTCAGAGAACAAATCATAAAAGTAGAAATGAAAGGTCATTCCAACAAGCCGTCTTAGCTCAGCTGGTAGAGCGCGTGGCTTTTAACCACGTGGTCGTGGGTTCGATTCCCACAGACGGCGTTTTATGAAAATTATTTTTGCAGCCGAGAAATAATAAGATAAATGATGCTTACTTACCTCAGCTGCATTAGTTTTTTGATTTTGTTTCACCACTGTTTCTTTTGCTGGTTCAATGATTATAGTTTCTTCTGAACTTTTCTTGGCTGTTTCTGGTATTCCTGTCTTCACACTCTCTTTAGCTGGATAATGTAGTGAAAATACTTCCTCAACATCATCGACAACCACTGCAGATTCTTGTTTTTCACCTGGCTCAATGATCTTGCTTTCCTGATATAGTTTCTCCTCTTTCTTTGGAGATTCGTGTTTCACCGTTGGCTCGATGCTGTTAGCATCCTCCAAAGGTTCCTTGTCTTCTAATGTTTCATGTTTCGCCGTTTCCTCAGCTTTGGTTTTTTCATTTTCTGTGGAAACCTTTTCGTCTTCATTCTGCGACAGCATAGAACATCAGAATAAAAAAAGTTACAAAACTATGCATATCAAATTAATGTTTCATTAATATGGGCCACATTCTATGTTGAACATTTTTAACTGCAAATAATAGGAGTTGTTATTTTAGTAGAAATTGAATTATTAATTCTTTCTCACTTTAACTTTTATGCTATTCTTTCAAACTACCTAATCATGCAACTTATCACTCCAACCATCTTTAGCTAAAATCCAGCAGTTAGTAGCTTCAAACATTACAAGTATTATGAGACCCACCATTTACTATGCATGGTTAACTCCATGTATTTGTCTAGGATCCAATTCAATCAGTCAACTCAAACTCATAGCATTTGCACGGAGATCTACGTGCGAACTCTTTTCTATATAGGAAGGAAAATTCTAGATTGGTCGTAGCAATGAATCAGGCCTCTTATAATCATATCCAAACGTGCACTAGAAACACTGTTCTAACCTTTTGTTTACACTTTGCCATCACTCACCGTGGGACACACTAGTTAATTATAACAAGAGCATGACAACAATGATAGCAGTTAAACAAAACCAAAGAGATTGAATCCAAACAAATAAGGGTCCTCCAAAAAGGGGTTTCACCTTTGTTTGCTACGCACTTAGTGCATGATTTATAAGAATCTTCGAAAACTAATTAGGAGAACCTTGCAAAAACAATTAAAGTTCGTACCATAGACAGCTATGTTTAATTATTATGTTTTGTTACTTTTATTTATAAGATTATAAAACTAAATGGCGTCCACCCCATGATTTTAATTTTTAAATTAAAATCCGCAACCCCAACTGCTACCGCAATATTGCTGCAACCACATCAAAATGCAATTAATCATGCATTACTATCTCATCAGATAATTTTACCCATTTTTTAAAGTATTTTCACCAAAATTATAAAAATTCCAGAAACTCAAAACTCAATTTACTTTTTAATTCTCATGAAATGAAAAATCTTAATGGCTTAAAATCAAGTGTTTTTAAAAAACCTCCTAATCAAAATTCACTGCAACGACCGCAATGGACATCGTAACAACCAGAATGACAGTTATACGCGTAGCAACCACAATTTAAAACAAAACAAAAAACAGAGAAAATAATAACACAAATGAAGAAACAAAAAATTGAGAATGTGGAAATTGAGTGCATACCTCTTTGTTGAACAACAAGCTAAGAGACCGACGTGTATTCCCGTGATCATGATCATGATCTAAAATATGGTCAACATCTTTAAGATTGATACCACGCTCTTCCTGTTCCTGTTCCTGTAACAGCGGTTCATGTTTGGTTTCAACAATGTCTTCCTTGACCAGTTGAGGTTCAGGTTCAGGCTGTTCACCATCTTTCGCAACCTTCGGTTTAGTCGCACAACCACCCATTGATACGGTTTTTTGTTTTCCTTTGTTTAAGGCGAAAAGAAAGAAAGAGATGAACGTGCGTTGAAATCAATGAGAGAGCATGCCAAACCACAGTTTCCTTATTATGTCTTTCTCACACCAACATAACATAATCTACATAATCAAATCAAATCCTTATATTAAGGAAAACTTGCAAATTTAAACTATTCTTTTATTAACAAATATTCTTCCTTTTTTTCTATATTAAATATACTACTTGCTCATTTTTTAATACAATGTTAATTATTTTTTTTAATTAATACTATTTGTATCATTTTTATTTATATGGTAATATACTAATATGTAATAAAGATATTTTAGTATAATTTTTAATTTGTATAAAATAGTCAATTTAATTTTTTATTTTAGAATAGAGATAATGTTAAATAAGAATAAATTATGATGAGGAGAGGAGTGGGAGGAATGAAAGGGAATGATAAGTGGAAGCAAAAAGTTGTAGCTGAAATCATGGAATGTCAAGGAATATTTGTGCCTCATATGCAACTTTTTGCATTTTAAATAAGTGATTATTAGTATTATAAATTATTGGTATAGCTTACTCTTTAGTTTTATCTCCAACTTTGTGTTTGAGTATTTTATATAATTTATTAAAATATGATAAATAAAAGAGAAAAAATAATTTATTAAATTATTTTTATTAATTATTAGTAGTTTTAATTATTAGAAATTAAAAATAAATTAAAAGTGATGCATGTGATCTTATATATAAAGTAAATTTACAAGAAAAATTATCATCGACATTTATTTTAAAACAAATGTCTTTTTTTAAGTGTGATAATTATTTTAAGTTAAAAAAAGAAAATAAATATTTCGCAACTTGGGTATAAAATAAGTTTTTTTTATCTTAGTATAATTATTATTATTGGAAATATTGAATGTATAATTAGTGCAAGTTGTTTACAACTGTCATTTCCTGGTATTTACAGTATATTTTAGGAATGCTAAGGAAATTTAATGTTCAATGTACTGTTACACACTCATTTTAAAGAGCTAGTATTAATATAGGTATTATAGTTTTGTGCGATTATTTTTTTGGTAATTACTCTCTATTTATTGTTTGTGCATATAAGGTAACCAATAAAATTATTATTTTAAATATTAATGTTTCTCTTTTCTCTATTTAGTTATAATTTTATTTTATTTTTATTAATTATTTTCTATAATAAATAATAAAAAATATTATACAAATATGTTAATATATTGAACTTTAAAAATGACATATAAAAATAAGAAATTTATGTAAATGCAATAAATAAATACTTTCAGAAAATATGTTATTGGCGCAATGTATCTCCTAATTTTTTTTGTCGAGTATAATAAGTAAACCCACACATCTTAAATATTAAGAGTGAATGTTATTACAGTTATTATTCAAGTTGTATATATAAAATTGATTTTGTATTAATTTTTATTAGTGAAATATTATAATTAAAAGTATGTGATAACTAGTTAGAAAATATTCCGAATTTAATCTTTATCTTTTCATATATAAGAATATTTTAAAGAATGGAAAGTAAATGTATCATATAGCTATACCATATTTACATATTGTACACAGAGAATAAAATTGGGCATTCTAGCTGTATTTGGTGGGGGCCTTGGTAGATACTATAGGTGTTGACACTAAATAGACAATAACATAGTAGCCATAAGTTGGTGTCACGATCTTAGTATATCATGTATATCACGATTGCAATTGCAGTCAGACAGACATTGTAACTTAATTTTAATACATATATGTAGACATGTTATAACTTCTAACACGGTAACAAAACTATATATTATACAATCAAAATAACATCTTCTTATATATTTAAACAACGTTAGATGGAACCCGAAAAAACTGTTAAGGTAATCTTGTTTGGTCATAGACATTAGAAAATCTTTCATCAAGAATGTATTTGCTGACAGATGTATAATGCAAATATCGGAAGTCTTAGTGTGTGAGATATTTTTAGTGAAGAGAGAAAGATAGAGAATGAAGAATAAGAATTGTTATTATTAAAAATTATTAAATTGATTTACAAAATTTAAATTATATCACAACATAATTCTCAATAATCTAAGTTGTCGAATACACGTTAGTCATAGTCAATCCGAACTTATGAATTTATTGTTTTTCTGGTTTTAGTGATGATGGATATTATTTTTCTGGTTTATGGTGAATTTATGAAAGAGTAAACTAAAGAAAAATAAAGAGACACAAGCGATATATCCTGGTTCCCCTCACAGTCCGAGAGTATTCTAGTCTAATTTCAACATGAAAGAAATTTCCTTATTGTTAGATCTCTAGACAAGACACCTTAGTCCTTCTATATAAGACTCTAATCAATAAAACTACCAAGAACAATCCTCTTGGACCAAGAACAATCCTCTTGGATTTTCACTATGTCAACAATGAGAACAATCATCTCAAGGTGACCTTACTTGTATCCAACAATCCTGGAAAAATATGATTACAAAACCACTTGAACTTATTTTCAACAATCCTGAAAAATAAGAAAGTGTATAGCAATATTTGATTGATAGAGTTTGTAGTGCAATAATCACTTTGAGTGATTTTATCAATGACTTGATCTTCTCTTCCAATAACAATAATATACAATGACTCAAGACTATAGAATGCTCAAAATTTTCTGTTTAACAATATATAAAAATGTGCAGAAAAACTTTGTGTATGAAAGTGAAGAGAAAGCTTGAGTTTTGATATTTTAAAATTAAAAAACTATTCATTGGAAGAGGTACAAAATGATTTTGAAAATTCAGTATTTATATGTTCATAGCACCTCTTTGAAACAGCATAAATTTCTACAAATGAATCATGAACAATTGCCAAGTTTCAATGAAAAGTTTTCATGAAATGGTGTTATGAAAAGGTATGTTCAAAGCTGCTTATTTTCAAAAACGTTCAGCATGCAATCGATTGCACCCATGTGTAAATCGATTGCACGGGTTTTAACAGCTAAAAAATTCAAATATTTTCAGTGAGCAATCGATTGCACGTGTGTGTAAATTGATTGCACTTTAAAACAGTAGCAAAATTTGATAGAGAGCAATCGATTGCACAAACATGCAAATCGATTGCACTTAGAAACAGTAGCTAACATTTTGAAAGCGTGAAGCATGCAATCGATTGCACCAACATGCAAATCGATTGCACCCAAGTGAAAATTGAATTTTTGCCTAGAAAACTTGAGAAAATTTTTGGACAAGATAAGAACACTTATTTTGATCATTGAGCATCTAAGATTTAAGTTCATAGCATGAATTGTTATTATACCTTATGAAATTTGCCAAGATCTTGAACCAAAGACTTTTATCCATTGATGCTTTTAGCTTGATCAACATCTTTGTCTTTTTTCCAATATAGTTTATCTTCATCAAAACAAAATGCATTGAGAATCATTTGATAAGCTTGATATTACAATCTGATCCAAATTGCTTGACTTACACGCGGCATAGGATCTGACTATATATTCATCCTCACACAATGACACTGCCACCATAGGTTGCTTTCTCAAGCACCATGAGATTGTGGCACCAAATACTTGAAATAACTAGTTTTAATTCTTCGATCTTTCTTATCTCCACACTAATCAATATCTGAATAACAATTAATCACAGTTTTTTTGCCTTCAGAACTTTGTGGAAATAGAATTCCACAGTTTCTCGGTCCTTTAAGTATCTCAGAATTCTTCTTACATGCTTCATATAGAACACTGTTGTACCCCAAAATTTTTCCTCCTATTTTAAGACAAATTTATTCAAGATACCTCCTTATGCACATCAAGGTCTCAAACACTCAAGACTACTCAAGAGTTAACCAGACAAACTCTCCTTCTAAGCAATTGACCTACAACTAGGGTTTTGCTTTTCTCAAAGGAAATTAGACTTATAATGCCTCAAATGGACTTCATGGTTTCTCATATGTATCAAGGTATCCTCATACCAAGTTTCAAGCCCTGCAGTACAAGTTTGCTCAGTCATTTGCTCAGATGATTAAAAATCAATTGTATTGGACAAAAGTCAACTTTGACTAATTTATAGTCAAACTTCAAGATTTTTGGTCAACATCAATATTTTGAAGTCACATTCATCATTTGATCAAGGGTTGATCATGATTCATCAAAAAACTCAAGATTCATCAAAAGTCAAAAGTTACTAAATTGGGGTTTTCTTTAGGAGAAGTTAACTAAGCTTTGACCAAGTATAACTTTCACATACTTCATCAGAAATTCCTTAACCTATTATTAAGAAAATTAAATTCTCTACAATTTTGTCTCTCTAAACTCAAGGCAAAAAATGATTCATTTGAGAGATATGAGTCAAAACTTTACAGGTCATTTTAAAAGTCAACAAAAAGACATTTTTTGTCAAAGAAATTTACATTAAGTCAAAGACTTGAAATGAAAAAATAACCAACATGAAAGTTGTATGAGACATCTAGAGCTTTCCAAAAAGTCCAAGATCACCTTCATATAACAAAAATTGAGAGAATTATGATTAGTGCAAGTTGAGAAATTTTGAGAAAATGCATGAAGTTCAAATTGTGCAAAATTGGATTTTTGGGCTAGTGGGCCTAAGTTTTCAAGTTCAAACCTCATATTAGACCTCAAAATCCATTCACATATTTTTTTTTAATGATTTTTATTTCTTTTATTTGGATTTTATTCATTTAAATGAAAATTAAATCAAATAAAATATGAAAGCATGAATACAAGGCGTGTGGACCTTTGGTCTAATCATTTTGGAGGCTCAAAAAGCTCATGACAACTTGAAAAAAACATGTATAGATGATTGGCACATGATTGACCTAAAAAGGAAAGTTTTCATGCAAAATTCCAATCAAAGATTTGATCATGAAATACAAAAGATTGATCTCACTTTTGTTTACCTAATCCAAGCATTATAAATAAACATCACATTCAGACATCAAAGGACATGAAAAATTGCTTCAAGAA